CAGTCGCTGCTTACTGCGCAGTTGGCAGAGCGAGTTGTACTACGTGCGTGTTTATATATGTGTGCCTAAAAGAAGTGTAGACTGGGTAGAATATCAGATTGGAAGGTTCAGGGTATCTCCTAGTCGAGCAGTTTCGACTAGAGTTTTCTTACTTGTTATTAATTTGGTTATTCTAGCACATTCTTAGAATCATTTCATGGCACAGCATCAGCAGTTAGTTTAGTTTAGATTTGTTAGATGGCGCTACAGCATTGAATCTGAGTCGATTTAGACCTGCACGTCTGTCTGTTTGACTCTCCGGCCGTCCGTCCATTCATATTGTTCTTCGTAGGGCTGAGCTTGTAAAGGTCAGCATTCGTTAGGTTAGAGTTTATGTCCCTCCCTGAACACCTACAGACTTGAAACTGTAAACTTCAACGTAAATAAATTTATTAATAATATAATTTTGTAGATTCAATACTGGACGAAGTGAGTGATAATAGGTTGCAAACTAGCATTATCAAGAGGGAGAATCCGGGAACGGCCTTTGACTGCAACACATATCAGCTGACCCCCGATTCACCCATATCCAGCTCGCAAAGCCAGGTACAAGCAGGTACTATTGTGGCTAATCCAATTCCTAGCGGATACAGCAGTAAGTATTAACAATGTGCTTTTGGGTAAATAATATCGTTAGTTTTCTGCAGTTGACTTCATCGATCAGAATCAGAGAAGCGTGCACTTATCATCGTCTCCACTGCTGCGCGTTGATACAACAAATGGCTCGAGCGATGCATGTAAAGTTGACCAAAGCTCTTCGCCTCCACTAATTTCATGTACAACAACGGGCACAGAGAACTGCTCAACGGGCAGTTTCTCTGTCATCCTCCGATCAGTTGACAGCATGAATACAAGCGAGGAGCCAAAAACGGCGACAGCTGAGTCCTCAATATCCCTGAATCGATATACGCCTCTAGATAGTCGCCCAATCGCAACTATGCCAGCAATTCGCTCAGCAGAAGGTAAGCACATAATTATAAAATTGTTCGAAAGGAACCGCTATTCATCTAAAGTTGATCTGCCAATAGACCACGTTAGCATATAATCATTGGCTTTTGAATAGTAATATAAACATTTTGTTTCTCTTTTCCATGTATATATGTATGTATATAGCCATATTGCATCACAACTCTTCGACATATCTAGCAACGTCTGTTAGTCCGGTTAATACAATCTATTATCCGCAACATAGCAGTCCACGACTTATGCCTCATACGATATTAGATCAGGAACATGTACATGCCACGCAACAACAACAACTGCAACAACAACAGCAGCAACAACAACAACAGCAGCAACAACAACAACAACAGCAGCATCGTGCTAGCGACACACATGATATAACCGATTTTGTAACGTACGTTTGCCAAGATGGAGGTGGAGGGCATTCAACAAGCTTAGCGACAGCCGCAGCAGCAGCAACCTTAGATAGTCCAGTCTTTCAGCATGCGCATCAGTTGTCCACTCATCATAGCCATCATTCGCCTCACTATCAAATCCATCCACAACTGAGAGCAACGAAATTGGGGGCTGCTCCATCGTCTTCCCATTATCATAGCACTATGTTGCCGCCGATGTTGCCACCGATGGCTCGACCTGTTGCCATAATACGCACCAGCGCAGATCTAGCAGTGGTCACGGGTCAGTCTACGGCCACGGCCTCGTCGACGAAAGGCAGCACAATGGCCAATGATGATGAGAATCGCAGCATCAATTCAATTGATGGGGGTACCCAGAGTCCAGCTAATCTAGAGATAGATCCAAACACAAATGCGGATTGTACAACTTTGGTTGCAAGATCCTCACCACAATCGCAGTCACAGTCACAGTCACAGTCACAGTCACAGTCACAGCAACAGCCACAGCCGCAGCCAGCGACCAGTCCTCATACGCATACAAGTGAAAGTCTCCGAAGTAAAATGCCATCGATTGCCTCGAATTCGCTAACTCGAATCGCAACGCCAATGTATCCCACGGCAAATAGCCGAGAGTATTTTAATCATTTTCATAGCCAGTCGACATCGGTAAGTACCTACATATTCTACAAATTTCGAGGTTTTAATGTTTACTGGAATCACTAAACAAACATATACCCTCGCTGTAGAACTCATTGAACCGATTATTAATGCAGTTTCGTTTTTATACACTGAACCCATCGAAAATGGGAAATCAGGGCATAATGGTTTTGTTAAAATGTATGTAACAGGCAGACCCCACAATGTATATATATTCTTGATCAGGGCGACGAGCTGAGTCGATTTGGCCCTGTCTGTCCGTCCGTCTGTCCATATGTATGAACGCGTCGATCTCAGAAGATATAAGAGCTAGAGACTTCAAATTTTGTTTAAAATATCCGTATATATCGCACATATTTTAAAACTAATTTGCTATTTACCTTTTCTATTGATTTGCTGATAATTTTACATCAATATCCATGTCAAATTTTGATCTTCTAATCAGTGTTGGGCAACGCATTCAGAGACCCCATATAAATCATTTGTAAATTTATACTTTGTAGTCTTTTAGTTCAGTGGTGCTCCTGACATTCTAAACAATGTTGAGAACTATTCTGTTTCAGCTATTGGGCTACGCAGGATCTATTTCGACAATGTCTGGTGTCATGAGTCCAACAAATCTGAGTTTATATTCAACACCAACAATGACTGTGAGCTCTGCACATCGTACAAGTGCAAGATCCCGATGGAATAATGGACTAACCGAAGATGAATTCAACCTAATTCCGCACTCTGTAGCTAGTACAAATATAGAAAATACACAGGTTATATTAATGGATGATTGTAAGTATGGTATTTTAGTTCTATTATACAAAAATGAAATGCAATTGATATATTATTAAATCCTAACCTAATGTCAGGCGAACGTCCGTTTAATGAAAGGTTTACATTTGAACTGAGCTTCTGCACTTCTGCACTCAGATTTATACATTGGGTCCCACTCTTATACGTCAAGCCTTTTCCATGGGTTATGTAACATTCCGATGTTCCATTGGAAATTAAATGGGAAAGGAAACATGTAATATTCCTTCGTCTTCAATGCATACATAATAAACTACACTTGTGTATACGCGAATAAGCATTTTGTGTCGATTATTATCGATAAAAAGAAGCATATTGAGTTATCGAACATACGATAAGCTCTTAAAATATGTGGCTTACTCTAGTATACATGTTATATTTCAGGTCATTAGCTTTCGTATCTTACCCAATCTCGAAGTTGAGGCAGGCGGACATGGCTAGCTAAACTCGTTCTATCGAATCCTATGTGCTAATTTTATTTTTATTTTATTATTAATACTTAAATTCTTTTCCATTTCAGCAACGGGTCGTTTCACTGATGAATACCCCACAAATTCTAATCGTGATTATGTTTAATGAATTAATAACACATTATTGCGGAGTTGGGCTTCGGGCAAGCTATAACTGATATAGAATAATTAAGGCATACTTAAAAAGAAAAAACATATTGTTATATATATATATATATATATATATAT